CAAATCAGTACAGTTCAGTTGATGCTGAATTTATTGCACTTTTTCAACTTCCGTAGGACAATACAAGTTGATTTCAAAAAGAGAACTGTATGTTAATGAAAACCGTTTGCACTTTTAACAAATTTCATTTTCTGAGAAAAAAAAGGACCTTATTTGAAAAAAAAGGAAAAAGTAACAACTGGAAATTATACATACCCTGAAATGTTACAAGATATATGTGTAACATAAGCAACTCATGTACAAAAAAAAAAAACACACACAAAATATGCTCATGGTAATTAAATTGTTATATAAAAATGCAGTAGAAAATAAACGCAACATAAAAAAAGTTGTCGGGAAGACGCACAAGCAGATAAATTATTGTAAATTCCTGCCGACGAATTGAGCTTATGCATTACGAGGCAAGAAACAATGTTGAAAATTGAAACGTGGCATTGGAACGTAAACAAACCCACACAACGGTCGCAAATTGCAACATATACGACAATACGTATTTCAAAATTTAAAAAAAATGTACAAATACAATTGTGTACTTAATAAAACTGGAAAATATATGCATGTGTAATGACTACACATTATACATATGCGCAAAAGTAAACTTGATTAAGCAATGAAAATACCTAAACACTGTCGGTCATCATTTGGCAGATGGAAACTGATATCTTCACAATCACAACAATGAGAGTGAACAAACAATGAAAGCCTTTAATATTATTTTTTTTAACTTATCCAGTATCTCTGGATTAGAACACACAATAACAGCCGCGTGGTTGCGAAGGCCGATTTCTAATGGTTACGCAAAACTTTATTCTAAATGAAACAACATGCACACAGACATGTTCACGTTGGTGGGCGAAATCTTTGAAACTTAATTGCTCCCGTTTGGAAGACCGTATCGTCATGCAACTTCCAGGAATTCCTTCCCTTATAATTATCCAACAATGTGCTAAAAATCGTTTTGATTATGTTCAGTACCTTTCGTTGAAATTGGTAAAATAGGCCTGGCTACGTGCATTTTTAATAGTAGTAACACTGATATTTGCAATATATGTCAATCTTTTCGAGCATCACGAATATTAATAAGGTTCCTATCGATTATGGTATCCAGTAAAAAAAAAATGCAGAATAGCCTCCTTCACGAGTTATTAATAAATAAATATCACCCATTTTGCCGGCTTCCATTTGTCGATACCGAGACCTACGCGAAGTCACGCCGAGTGACGCTAATTATATGCTAATATATGCGCTTCGTCATTGTTGCCCCAAAATCAGCCAACCTGAAAACCATGCACATAAGTTGGTCGGCAAACAAATCCTTGTCGAAATTTACATGGGAGATAGTTCAAGGTGTAACACAAGCGTTTGCAACAACAGCTTAAGCTGAAATTCGGAATAACTTTAGATGATATACATGTAAGTGCTCAACTACTCGTGAAATAACAACTTGAGTGGATTCCTAGAAATAGATTTGGGGGCATTTTCGAACGATTTCTTCCCGACTATAAAGGTCACCTTAACCAGTAACCACAATTGACGTTTCAGCATCGATGACGGCGATTCTTTTACTGTCATGAAGTTTAGAATTACTTCTTCGGTTATAATTTAACATTTCAATCATACTGAGCATACTTTCTGAGAAACACAACGTTCAAAAGGCCATATTTTTTGGGGTGCATGAATTTCATTTTTTGGGGTGCATGAATTTCACTTTTCTGTTAAAGCGTCAAAGTACGTAATCATATTAACTTTGTTGAACAACGGCGACGCTTAGGCCTTCACAACCACATGGCTGATAAATGCAGCGGCAGATTTCAATATTGTTATTAAGCTTGTACATCAAATATACAGATGTACATTGTACCATTACACAAATAACACAATATCTGAATAAAATATAGACATAAATATACATGTAAATGAGTATATAGTTTTATATGAATACATTTGAATAAATAATGCTGACAGAAATTGAACACATAATACCGATGTATAATGTAATACCCCGTTTAGTCTAAGTACAAAGGCATGCATACATCGCATGCATGAAAAATTTAAACAAATGCTCAGAAAAGAGCTGGGTTTATTTATTTTTTTTTGTATTTTTAATCCAACCCCATTTTTCTAGCTCGGGATAGCAGCTCAACAAATCATCTTGCCTCTCCGTTAGTTAGCGAGTTGGTAACAAACGTTGACATTGTCTATTGCTGCTACATATTTTGACAAATTTCAACCTAACTTTGTCAAGAGTATCAGTAGCCCAGTCCCAACATGTCACATGACCAAACTGGGGTCAAAGGTCATCATGGGGTCACTGGAGTAAAAAATGTGATTTTCGTACTCAAAACACTTCTCCTTCCAGAAATTAAATGGCAGAATCACGTGACTCGTGCTTGAACACAAATTCGTTGGCCCGCAGCTTCAGAGATACTTCCGAATGAGCTTGTTCCAATATTGAGAAGAGTGCTTAAGAACCTGCTCAGCGGTTTAAGGGCAGAGTTGTAGAAGACCACCGGGATGGGAGGGACATTCGAACAGAGGGCTGACGGCACCTATTACTTGTACATGTAAGGCCGTCAGTGGTGTAGTACTCGTACTCAGTACTAGCAAAAAAAGTACTCTAATTTTAGAGTACCTGTTCTCGAATGTCAAAGTACTCGTACTTGACATGACGGTACTCATACTCGGGCAGCAAAGTACTCGTACTCGACATGTCGAAATTGTTCACAGTCATCAAAGTACTCGTACTTGAATAGCAGTGCTTGAAATAAATATGGTATAGATTGACTTACCACGGCCTTAGTTTATTGACACTTTCAGTTTGAAATGGTGGATTGGCTTACAGAGAAATCAAAGTTTCCTGAAATTTCCTAGGTGGAAGTCCAGACAAACACTAGCCACGAGAGGGTCTGTATATAATCGGTCTGACTGGGCCTGGGCCAATTACACACACTGAACCATTTGCCGCATGGCCGTATTCGGAAATAGAAGAACTCGTACTTGGAATTCAAGTACACGTACTGGTACTAATGGAAGTACAAGTACTTGTACTCGGAGACCTGTACTTGTACTTGGAAGTACAAGTACTCGCACTCGTACTCAGTATCCTAAGTACTGGACAGTACTCGGTACATGTACTCGGAAAAAAGTACTCGACTACAACACTGAAGGTCGTCCTCAGGTCAACCCTTGCGACGACACATTGAAGTGGCTCACATGTAAGTATAGCCATAGCCGGCTGAAAGTGAGCCAGGGTCTAGGAGGGCACGGTGAGCTAGCCATGCTGCTACCAGTTGTTAACGGTTCTACTGAACCAGAAATTAGAGGAGGAATGTCTTTCACAAACTCTCATACTCAGCTTCTTTGCCCGGAGCCGCCCTGACAGTGCAAGGCATGGAGGAATCGTTCCTGCAACCAGGGACATTCATAATTTGGCCATCCAAGGTGTGCGTTGTTGTGATGGGATGAAAATTAGTGACAAATCTGTAGTATCGTTCAAAGAATCTGAACCATGTGAAACTTGATGAAATATTCTCGCCAAAGAAATTAGAGTATGCTTCGATCCAATTTGATACCTTCATTGTTTGATCTACATCATTTGCATTTAAACAAATGTCCAAGCTTTTGTTACGGGTGATGAACACCCTTTCCCCAACCATAAGTCCCCATCTAAAGGTAATTGTATCCATGTAGGACTTGTTTCTGGATTGTGGTTCTAGGTTTATACATGTGTAATGGTTCTACTTTTACATTGTATGATGATCTACAGCTTATAATTGCTGAATCAGTATCTTAGTACAGTATGTTCATCGTACATCTATCTTCATCTTTGGAACTGAAAGAAGTATCACAGTTTTTGTTAGGGGTGGCCACCCTTTTTCCGCCATTACAACCATTTCACCGTGGCAATCCCCGTGTGAAAACGGTATCCCACTTGTATGAAATGTTGTGTATTAACTTTAAGCAACACTTCAAAAGTACATTTCAAAAAGTTATTTCAGGTAAAAATGAGCTTCATAACAAAAAAAAGAGCACTGATGAAGCCTGGATAGATGTATAATTGAATTTCAAATTTTCCTAATGTATCTATGAAGAGTTACTTCACAGATTAAATGCAATACTGTACTCGCCATGTACTCGTACATGGTTTAGGCAGGATAGGTTTAGAAATGATTATCTGCAAATTATTAACCCCAAAATTGATAAAGTTACGAATGCATGCACTACTAAAGAATTTGAAGAATGTCACTCAAACAACATTCACTCTGATACTGTACCACATTCTAGACTGAAACTCCACTTTGGTATCAAAAGGGTAAAAACTGGATATGTGGGTGAAAGTCCCTCCTATGCTACTAAGAGCTTTCAAACATGACTTTCTGCAGAAAATTGTTAAAGTTGAGATATTATCATTAAATCTTGACAACCCTGGATTAGAATTTGGCATGCAAGTCTGTCGAAACACCTAGAGCCTCTAACATGACTTTGAGCAACAAGTCCTTTCAGTCTTGATCACGAGATGGAAGACTGTCGACCAGCTTAGAGGGTTCTAACAGGATTTTGATCAGCAGGTTGTCAATCACTGTTTTGTCCTCTAAATCTTGAAATTAAGCTTGTCAACCAACTTTTTCCAGCATACATTCAGGAGTGGATTGTCTGTGTTAAGACATTACTGTTTATCGTTTCGGTTTGCGGTAACACCATGTGGTAATAACTATTGCTTAGAAGATATTAGTTCTGAAAAGAACTTGGCATGCCCAGCAAGCACTCCCAATCCTAACAAATCCTACTTAAGGAGTAGCATCTCCAACTATCTTCAGTCTCCTGATGATGACTAGAGCAGGCTAGTCGAAAAGTTGAGACCAAAGACAAGTTCGTTTAGAACTTACAGCAGGACTGTTCTTATCAGAACAAAAAAATACTTAGCAAAGTTGATAATAAGCAGGACAAGTTCTTTTCAGAACTAATAGCTTCTAAGCAGTAGTTATTACCACATGGTGTTACCGCAAACCGAAACGATACAGATACCCCACCATGCAAAGCCTCAAATCTTATAACATTACTGTTTAGTCTTTACAATCGCCGGATGGAAGTCTGTTAACCAACCTACAGCTTTCTAACAGGACTTTGAGCAACAGGTTGTCAATTACTGTTTAGTTATTACTACCTTGTGAGGAAAGTCTGTCAACCAACTTAAAAGGTGGCAAGCACGACTTTCAGAAGCAGATTTTCCTGATTAAGACATTACTGTTTGGTGTTGACAATGTTGGGATAAAAAATCTTTGTTTATTAATCTAGATCTTTCTACTATACATGTAACTATCAGCAGCAGATTGAGATGGTTGAGACAAAACATTAAGTTGTAACCGTCTACAGATGGAAGCCTGTCAACCAACTTGCATCAAGACATTACCGTTTAGTCTTGGCTATCCTGAAATGGAAGTCCCTATCCAGCAGCCTGGGGCTTTCCAGAATGACTTTCAGGAGCAGGTTGTCTGTGTAGTCTTCTAGCTCTCGAATGTACTGCTGCCGCTCACGCAGTAGTCGCTCCTTCAGCAAGAGCCGACGGATCAGTCCCTGAACACAACAATCCAGAAAAGATCATCAAATACACCTTACAGGGACACCAACTTTGTCTGCTATTAAATATTAGGGTAAACTGGGGTTAAAATGCCAGATTTTAAAGTTTTGGTCATTATCTCAGTGCTGCTTGGAGACACTAGGAAATAAATGTGTAGTTTAATGCAATACATGTCTCCTCTATCAGGTGCAAATATAATATCATGGTCATTATATTGATGAAGGGAAATGTTTCCCCCTTTTTGGGAGGAAGTTTGGCGGGCGTTTTTACCCGGGTCTCTGGCCCACATTTTTTTTTTTAAGATGGCTATACCACAGGTTTCCCTGTAATATAGTTATATTTTTTTCATGTATTTAATATTGAGCGATATCAAGTACAAAGAACTTTTCAAACACAGCTGGTTAATTATAACTACAAACTCAATCATTTGAAACAGCTTTTTTTATGTGGAAGGAAATGGAACATTAGCGTACATAATTCGCACACAACAAACGTGTAGGCTTATGTGTATAATACCTGCCAACATTGAAAAGTCTATAAATTTCAATCATGTTTAGCCAAAGTATAGTTCATGTTATTAGGTGTACATGTATGTACATGTATGTTTCTAGCCTACTGCTGATAACCTACGTGTAAGGCTTTATCAAAGGAGAACTAAGATACGCAGTTCTCTGTAACGAGACAGATTTCTTAGAGAAATGAAATGCGTTCTTGGCGAAACTTCTACTCTGTAACCACAAGAAAGAGGAAATCGCAAGTTATGAAAGACTGAAAAAATTTGAAACCGTGATGAGAAATGAAAAACTGCACTTACAGTCCAACAAATTCAGGATTTCTGTTGTTTGTGCATCAATTTAAACAATCAAAAATAGAAAACATGGTTTCATTACTCGACAAAAACAAATAGAACGTTGGATACTACATTCATGAAAAATCCATACACATGTGCATTTAGGACACTAAAGAATGATTCAGGCATGTCCAACAAGTCCTTGAGTCAAGTCATACTAATTGTTCCCTGCTGGTGGAAGGCATTCATCAGGTGCCAAACTGCCCTAGGAGATCAATCTTGAGATAAGAGAGATCAGTGAGCCTGGTTCAGTCTTGATCCAAAACCAGAATATAACCGGCCAGCTCGGGTGTTCTGTTAAAAGAGAATTCACGGCAGGACAATTTTGTAGCACAATTCCTTGTTGATCACTCAGGAAAAAAAAAATTCTCGGACATGTATCCGATATTGCAAACTCAACTAAATTCGGTCAATTTGGGGCATTATCCAAATGAAAAAAAGGTTTTTTTCTCACGATTGTTTGGATGCTTGATTACTTACGATCTGGAGGATATTCACAATGTTTTGGCAGTTCTATTTTCAAATATTTGCAAATGGTTTCCACTATTGTCTCCCTACCTCTTTGGTCATCTTCACATATTGCGCTGGTAACGGCTCCTCGTATAACTCTTCCTTAGCACTGGTCCCGTATCCGGTCTCCTTGCTTGGGTCAAAGGTCACACTGACATTGCTCTTGCGTAGAGAAGGTAGACCACTGCGAAATGAATGCCTCAACTTACCTGAAGAGAAGAAAAGTTCAGAAAGAGAAGAGAGAAAATTAATACAGAACGGGAATCGGTCATATGACCCTCACAGTACAATACCTGTCCTCATCAAGTAAGCTATGTACATATGTACATTGCCCTGCAAACTATAGTGGAATGATCCCTACATTTGAATCTTTGACAATGGACCCTGAGCAAAGCAAAAAAAAATGGAGAGCTATGACCTTCACAAAATAATACAGGTGCTCCATCAACTGAGCTATATACATTGCCTTGCAAACCACTTTTAATGAATGAATCAACAAGAATTTAGGCGAATATAAGAAAAAAATGGAGGCATTCTGGCAAAATGAGACAGAAGTGGAATGAGGTCGAAACGAGGGTTTGGGGGTATAGGAAAGATCACGATTGCAGAAGGCGCCTGCTGCAGCTGAAAGCTTCTGAAGGAATGCAGGATCACACATGATGTCATTGCACACAGGGGTGATCCTGCAATTCTTTAGAAGCCTTTGGCCGTAGCACACGCCTACTGCCACTGTCTCCGGCGCTGTATCACACTAGAGGACGCCAAGTCGAAAGTGGCAGACTTTTATGATATTTTTTTCGCATGCTGTTTAAATCTCACCCTCTTGCACAAAGCTGATGAAACTCACTCCATAAAATTTGTGAAGCCTTGTTTACATGATCTGAAATATTGGTTTAATCCCATTGGTAAACAACAGAGTTACTGAGCATCAACAGTGGTTCATTTGTTAAAGTGGCCCAAGCTAATTCCCGTAGATGTGTGTGTATTTCTGCCAGCCATAGTTAAAGCTATAGTCCATCATTTGTAATTAGTGCATTTTGTTCGTTTGAAGCAACAAAAGTGTTCAAAATCTAATGAAGGATACTGAGCAACTAACCTGATGAAGTTTCAGCTAAGCTTCAGCTGTACATTCCGAGAAAAGCAGCATTCTAAGATCTCAATTTCAAATCAAAAGTTACTGAATCATGTTTTGAATTGTTTTGTAATTGCAGCTATACGCGGCATTGCGCACTGATCCGACGAATTATAACAACCGCGCGCGCGTGTGCATCGTTCCAATACTTGCGCGCGCTGCGCTGAATAACAAAACGAACTACTAATTTAAATTTTCCTACGGTGCTTCTTAAGAATCACCGTTGGAAATGCCTTCTTTCGTTGATTACTTCAAAATGACAGCTTCCCAGAAAGAATAATTTCACAGGGAGTTTAGTTCCCTTACTATCTTTCAACCAAGTTTGTTTTTTACAGTAATTACGCCAGTTACTTTTCGGATGGCTGCAAATGATGGACTATAGCTTTAAGTAACTTGGGTCAGGACTCATTCATGGAGATGTTTGACTTACTGTCCCTTGATCGTTGCTCACTGTTATCTTCATCCCTCTGCTCTGGCATTTCTCCGCCATCTAGTTTCTGACAGACTCCGCCCCCTGCCCTTTGACCTCTGTAAGAGTTCAAGACCTCCAGGGGGATGTATTCCTCCGAGATGGACCTCAAGGGGTACGATAGGGGGCGGGCAGCTTTAGGGGCAGGGGTGTAAAGTTCCGAGGTGGAGGCTGTGTGGTTTCGGTGGGTTATGTTCCGCAGGTATTGCCATGGTAATGATGATGATGATGATGATGATGGTGTGTTATCAGGATGGGCGTCGTGGGGTGTGTGAGGGTGTGTGTCAGGGGATGGGGAGGGCAGGCTTGACTCACTGCTGTACGGACTGTGTGATGGATCCTTGCTATGGGTCTGAAAATGTAAACAGTGTAGGAAAGTACAATAATATTTTGCATTGAGCAGAAAATCCCAGCTTGAAATTTTACAGCCAAGCAAATTTCTTGAGTGGAGATGAAAATTCTGATAAAAGTACTACATCATATTCACCCTACATTTACTTTTGCTTTAAATAATACACATGAAAGGTGTATCATAGAAATGGCCCTGAACATGGATAAGCAGTATGCCTACAAATTGTAAAAATGGCAGAAAAATCAATGGAAAGTTGCCAACTCTACATTATGCTTTTTTGACCAAAACAGTGTGACTGCGCAGTTAGTAGTATAAAAATGATGTTTAAAACCACTAGGGGCCTGGTTGCTAATTATAGCCCTTACCTTCGTCTCCAACCATTTTCAGTGGCTAAGCCCAAAAAGGTTTTAAAACACTAATATATAACTTCTCCATCACACCGGTCCTGAAATGATGGCTTTTAGATGAGACCTCTAAATGCACAGCGTAGAGATTTACATGTGTAGGCTGAATCAGCCACACATGTACATGTACATGTATCTCAATAACAAGTTATCACAAATCCATCACAAGTCTATAGTTATCACGTAGTCCATCACAGGTCCATAACAAGTTATCATGTAGTCAATCACAAGTCATCACAAGTCAATCACAAACAATCACAAACCATCGCAAGTCGATTCACAAGTCCATCACAAGTCCATCGCATATCCATTCACAAGTCTATCACAAGTTCATCACAAGTTAATCAAAACTCTATCACAAGTCACCACAAGTCCATCACAAGTTCATCACAAGTCATCACAAGTTAATCAAAAGTCCATCATAAGCCCATCACAAATCCATTACGAAACATCACAAACCACCACAAGTCATCACAAGTCAATCACAGACTTGATTACCTTATCTCTTTTCAACGAGCCAATAGCGCTCTTCATTCTTTTCCTGAGCCCTCCCTTCTTATCCTTGGAGTGCGATCCACCACTGCCCACAGACTCCTGGGAGCCAAAGTTTCCCTCTGCATTGTGGGATAGCCTCCTCTCTGAAACTGGGCTCTCCGAAGCAATGGAGTCTGATGCCTGCAGAAGAAATTTTCCAAATCTGATTGTAATTTACATTTGTGGATATTTTCTTAAATTGTTATCATTCATGAAGCCCTGTGTTGAACCATCACAAGTCATCACAATATCGATCAGAGGTCAATCACAAGTCATCACAAGTCATTGAGAGGTATATTACATGTCATCACTAGTCATCACAACTCAATCACGAGTCATCACAAGTCAATTACGAGTCACCACAAGTCATCACAAGTCATCACAAGTCAACCACAAGTCATCATAAGTCAATCTCAAGTCAAGCACAAGTCAATCACAGGTCAATCTCAAATCAATTACAAGTCGTCACAACCCCATCACAAGTCATCACAAGTCAATCAGAAAACATCACAAGTCCATCACAAGCCATCACAAGTCAATCACACGTCAATCTCTAATCAATCACATGTCACCATAGGTCAATCTCAAATCACATTTAAGTCATAACATGATGTTTTTATAAAGCCCACATATCCAACAATACTGGTGCTCATGGTGCTAAATGTACATGTACATCATTATTACCCTGCTCACTGGAGCAATGAAACATTCCAAATACCATCTCAGCTCCCTGGGGAGTTTCGGCGCAAAGCAGTTAAAATCAACCACAATAGCCATCTCTGCCCTCACAGGCACCCAATTTACTCCTAGGTGGAGAGAAGCAATGAGTGACAAAGTGCCATGCCCTAAGGCACACACACACCACAACCCCAGGCTTGACTCGAACCCACAACCTGCAGAATTACCCGCAGACCACGAATTCAATGCTCCAGATCACGAGGCCACAGCACTCCAAGTCATATTTGTATTACATAATCAGCTACGTTTTAACAATGCAAAAAGTCTCCATTTTTTCTGCAAGTGCAGTCTGGCATACATGTATGTCATGATACATTTTTTATACAAAAAGGGGGAAAACTTGTTGAATATTTACCCTTCCACTGTCATTTGAGTCTGACTTCTCCCTTCCGCTGATAAACTCTGGTACTGCGCTGTCGTCCTTGTTGACTGCTGTATAGCTTTTTAAACGAGGGACTTTTAACTTGCTCTTTAACCCTGAATGATAAGATGGAACAAGAATAAACTGAGAAACTGTCTTTTACTTTTTGACAGGCAACCTGTTTTCTGCAAGCCATATATTTATTTAGGCCAGTCACAAAGTCAAACTTTAACTGGGACTCAGCAGAATTTGGTTTATAAACTATTTGCTGGAGGCTTCAGCTAAAGGGGTGGGGACACAGGACTCAGTTTGCAGTACACCTTCTCCCCAGCAACACCACCACATGGTTTGTGTCGGTCTGGGGTCCTACATAGTCAAGTCCAATGAAGAAATATGTTTATTGATCATGTTTACCATTTGGGTAGACAGGGTGATTGATCACGCATGCCCGCTAGACTATGGGATTTTATCACACAAACAAACGGTTCTTCTCAGAGGGGTTGGTGTTTGGCTAGGACTTTCAGGGTCAATACTTCAACTCAGGCTAAATATTTCAATCAGGAACTTGTGGCACATTACAGGACAGCCTTTAGGGTAGGCTTTACCTGGTGACTTTGAACGCAGTGAGGATGACCTTTTAGCCTTTGTACTCTCTTGACCTATAACCTCTGACCCATCACAGTCTACTCCTATGGCCAATGACTCCATACTGTCTTCTGTGACCTCTACGGTGACTTCGATCTCTCCGCGGTCTTTGTGTTCCTTCTTGGATTTGCCTGGTCGGTTTTGCAGCTTGTACCATCTGACATAAAGGAAAAATAATTATCCCAACAATGATATATCTTGTTTCAGCTGTGTTGTCATCGAGCCATCACAAGTCCATCACGAGTCCAGTCACAAGTAATGTTGTGCATCAGGTCGGGTTGACAATGACAAACTGACCCGAAACATTAAAGATATGAACCAAATCCGAACCGAAACAGATTTGAACTATTCAACCCGACCAGACCCAACAAAAAATCAGAAAAAAAAATGGCCCAAACCTAACGGACCCGAAATGACCCCTCAAAAAAACATCTGGCTTGAGTGAATCGTCCTACATTTCACGAATGCTGTGTCTGTTTTTGTGCATGAACTTGCCCGCGTCCCATGAATATTTAAAATGTGTAATTCTTTTTTTTAAATCGTCATTTTTAAGTAATGGATCATACCGAACGGTATGGTAAACCTTCATAATGTGAATCACCAGTGGGCCTAAACATTACACACTGCGCATGATAGCCCGCAAACCACAAATAATTGTACCGTTGGTTGGACTGTAGAAACTTATCCTTCAGACAGAACCATGCACATTGCTCGTAGGCCTACCATGCACAGTGACTCTGGAATAAGCCAGTTCGATATTTCAATTGCACATGTGCACAATGATTTGGGTGACGGGTCATTCGGGATAATTGAACATTTTGAAGGCGCATGAATGCTTGGGTGTAAATTACCAGCAGATTGGGCGTACACGTAACATCGCGTAACATCACGTCAGCGATGTTATCCCGAATAAACTTTGGTCATTTGAAATACCGAACTGGCTTATTGCAGAATGAGAATTTCCTACCAATTTTGTTTGTTTTTTCCCCGTTTCTTTTGGGTTTTTCACAAGATGGCCTTACCAACCCGTCCTGACCCGAAAATTGCAAACACAAAACCCAAACCAAACTCGAAACCAAACAAACCAAACAAACCCAAACCAAACTCTGTTTCGGGTCGGGTCAGTTTGGGGTCGGGTTTGCACAACACTAGTCACAAGTAAGTTCACAAGTCCACACTAGTGACCGACTGCATCATAGAGTTTTTTAAAATCCAAATTCAGTCTTGGTCCCAGACTTCTATATGTGCTGTTACTTACTTTGTAATGGCAGCATGTGATTCCTGCAGCTTCCCTATAGGGATCGTGACCATGCCTAGGAAAATATCCAACAACTTGCCCCGGTGATAAACCAGCAGCTCGACGCATGAGTCTTCTTTAGTGATGGCACTGTGAAATAGATGGATGCAAGGAATATTGAAAGTAATGAGGTACCCGGAACAATGTAAAAATGATTCAAGTTTTTTCAACAAAGAACTTGTTCTAGTTGCAGGGACCACTTATGTTCAAACCTGTTCTAGTCAATGTTCTTTGCTTACTGGAGTGTCATGGCCGAGCGGTGAAGAGCACCTGACTCATGCTCTGGTGTTTCAGAGGCAACAGTGGCGTGGGTTCGAGCCCGGGCCCGGACACTTGTGCCCTTGAGCAAGGCACTTAACCATTATTGCTTTGTCCTTCGGATGGGACGTTAAGCCGGAGGTCCCATGTGTTGTATCTAATAAGGCCTAACGCACGTAAAAGAACCCAGTAACACTTATCGCTAAGAGAAGGGGTCTGCCCCGGTGTTTCTGGTCTCCTAGTTATACTCCCTTGTGGAAGTCCTTAGGAGAAGAACCAACCAAGTACCAAGTATTAAGTACTGTAAAACTTAAAATCTAGATTTAGATGTTGTTCCGCTATTGTTAAGCTGGCCTCTGACAAGCAGACAAGTGGCCATGCTGTAGGGTGTTATTGACAAGATGATTCAAATCCGGAAATATGACCTCTGGCACCCAGACCCGAGAAATTCCACGCATATACCCCCGGTAGACCACATTAGGGGTGTGCATTTTAACGGGTAGTACGGGAACCGGGTACCGATTGAACACGGGTACCGGCCTCCCAGGGCACCCGTTAAAAAAAACAACCCAATAATTCAAATCTCGCAATTTCGCACAGATTGTCCATAATGGTCCCATCACATCGGTGGGTCGACACAGCAAGATATGCAAGTGTGTAGTCAGCTCCATAGGCCAGCATGCAGCTTTAAGTTGCATTTCCGCAAGCCTGACAAACGTGAATCTGTTTTGTTTCTCTTTAGGTACATGTACAATGTAGCCTGGTTTTCATTTTGAGAAATTTTCCACAAGTGACATTTGAAACCTTTCTTTTTTCATTTTCTGAGAAGTTACTAAGTAATTTGTAAATTGTTACAAGTACTTGATTCTATAATCGATTCCATCTGTTGTCGGGTACACGGGTACCCGGTTCCGATGCACACCCCTAACATACACTAAATTCAAGCTACATGTATAATGCGTGTGCGTGAGGTGTGCTTGGAATTTCTTGTGTGTACGTGCCAAAATTTCCAAGGCTGGATTTGATTTAGCCCCATAAATGTGGCCGATTTACTGGACTGCCTCCGTAAACATAGGCCACACATCCACATGTACAAAAATGTGTCGACTTTGCCAAATTTTGATTTTCACATTTAGGCTTACTTTGTAGGGTTTTTTTTGCTTTAGAAGCATTCTCACCGTCTATATAGGCTAATCAGAAAGTGCTGCCTTTTTCAGATGTCCATTTTTCGTGAAATTTCCAGATACATTTGCACACGTTTGCGTATCAAAATTTCAACATGAAATTTCACAAAAATTAGACATCTGAAAAAGGCAGCACTTTCTGATTAGCCTATATAGAGGGTGAGATTGCTTCTAAAGAAAAAAAAACCTACAAAGTAGGCCTAAATGTGAAAATCAAAATTTGGCAAAGTCGACACGTTTTTGTACATTTGGATGTGTGGCCTATGTTTACGGAGGCAGTCCAGTAAATAGGCCACATTTATGGGGCTAGATTTGAATGTGCCCGACACAATGGCCGCTTGACTGTCCTTGTCAAAGACAGCTGAATTAGAACATCCAAATGCAGTCTGGAACCATACTAACAGTATACATTCACATGCAGGGCCGGATTACATTGTAAGTGTTCCATAGGCCCTCGGCTCGCTACCAGTTATTACAGTTTGACAGTATTACACCTATTGAGGTTCGCTACCAGTTATTACAGTTTGACAGTATTACACCTATTGAGGTTCATGGTCAGGGTCAGCTACATATACCGGTAGTCTGAAGCTTTCCCAAAATCGAAAAATTTAGAGAGGCGCTAAAACTAAATGGTTAAAAACGTTTGTTGTCTGTGCATGGATGTTGGTGTGGTTGTTTGATTTTTATGACACACTGCAGTTATTTTCATAGGCCCTCAAATTTGTTTAGGCCCCTGAATTGTTCGTGGGCCCTAGGCACGGTGCATACTGTGCCTATTGCATATTCTGGGCCTGTAGCAATTTACAGGAGACATTTTGTATTTCACAACAGGATAACTCACAATTCACAGTCTTCATTCCATTGTGGATTGGGCGATTTGTCCGTGACAGAGGTCATGAAACGTTCCTTGCCGCAGCTCATCTTGACAAAAGCGCTGCTCCACGTTCCATCAGCACCTTTGGCAACCAGGTGCCTTGCCTGGTGGACTGCAAAATAGAACAAATCCACAACCACTGCACCATTCAAAATATGTACACACACATGGGGGTGTTCCACTGATCTCTATATAAAGACTGGATAGCGGATATGCATACAACATTCACACAGTAGACTTTGCATATTGACCAATTCGCCCCGGTCTCACGAAGATGGCCGCGTATAATACGAACATTCTACGCGTAAATACGCGCGCGTTGTATCAACAGTTGACGCGCATTTTGGGCACGTACACATATTATGATGTTCTAAAAGGAACACATTTCCGTAGTGATTATTATTTCAAAAATGCCGAAAAAGTGATTTGCGGCATTATAAAAGTAACCACTACGTTAGAAAAATTGTACCAAACCTTGGTCAGTTGGTCGGTGGTGGTGGACAAAATATAAGTCAAGTGAGCCGCGACGTTACAAAAGAAATCAAGCTGTCTATAAAGACGGCAACTTGTCCTTTGTAGATCACCAGCCGGTCTCACCAATATGGCGTCAAATTCGTACATTGTGCGGCTCTTTATTAGCTATCCAGTCTTTAAATAGAGATTAGTGGGGTGTTCAGGCAAAATGAGATGGAACTGGGCACAGGCCGTAGTGGAGAAAAATGAAAACAAAAAAAGGAATGGTTGATTTTTTTTTAGATTATCAGATTTATTGATATTTGCAATCTTTGATACGGCTGCTACACATTCTTTCAAAGAAATATTATAAATATTGTTGACTTAAAGTGTTGTTTTGGAAAAAAACAATTTGCAACTTTCATGTTCAATTCTTTTGACCCATCTTTTACAGATCATTAAACCGTAGAGCTATATTGTATTACTAGAGTGCTAACTTCGCGTACAAAGTAATGCCTGCTGGGCGCATCTATGTTTGTGCACAAACCTATGGCATATGGAGACCTAGAAAATGTGTACGGCTTTTGTACGGCTATTTGCATATCTGCGTTTGTATTCCATACCAATGCGTTATCGAAGCCAATACGCCCAAAACCAAAACGCACGATCAGCAAATGAGCGTGTTATTTTGCTCTACGCAAACAGCGCAACACATTCGGTATTTGCTGCAGATGCTTTTTTCCGTCACGTTTTTTTGAACCGTCAATGACGCGCTTAAGATGTTTGCGTATGTTCTACTTGCACGTTGCATGTAGAGTACACCTTTCGAAATTCACTCCATCTAATTTCACTATGTTCTACAAACACGAACATGAATTCAAAATGTCTGCACCCAGGACGGCTTCAAAGTGTCTCCGCGCGCAGAATGACGAGTTAGCGCTCTTGTAATTTAATAAAGCTCTATGATCATAACGCACCTAGTGACGAAAAATGCCGTACCTCAAGTAAATTATTTGACACACCAAAACTTGAATCACAGTAATGAAGAACATGATGCGCTCTTGCTGGGGAGGGGGGGGGGGGGGGGGGGGGGGGGGGGGGGAGGGTTGTTTGGGGGTCCTTCGTCGTGTTTGTACAATTTCACAATGCAGTGCACCACCAAGATTTTGTCATGGACATGATGGAGAGTTCATTTTTCCCAGTGCATTGTGGGAGATGGTGGACGTACCCGGTTTTCGCAGGACGAGACATTTAACACTGTTAGTTTTTCCAGGCAGTAGTTTCGTAAGCGAATTATTCGAGGATCTGTTTGCCCTTTCGTTTTCTTTTAAATCAATACAGTGGTTTTTTTTGTAAGGGAAAAGAACGCTATGCCCAAACCTATAACAAATTAACTCAAAATGTCTGCTTACAGTTATTTAAATTATTCATGTTTTGTCGACCGTAAACTTGAACAATGGACTCTCCATGGCAAACTCTTGGTAGCACACTGAATTGTGAATCGCCCGAATTAAAGGGAATATACAACATTTGCAAATATCGAAAAATAAAACTATCAAGTTTTTACGAAATACCTTACTTGGATGTTGGTAAATGACAGTCAAAAGCATCCTGTAAAATTATGGCTCCTGGTGTGAAGTCATTTTCAAGAAATTGGTATTTTTGTATACATTTCCAACAGTGGTCGGCCGATCACCGTTGGAAAAACCTAACTATTTTTTAACTTCTGCTTCAAATTTACCATTTTTTCAGTTCAAATTTTGTTTGCTATTGGTAACATGTTCATGAACGGGTGCAGGCCAGCTACACTGGTTCCCTTACCTTACAATTTTCCGGCATCTATAAATTGATCCATTTTATCCTTAGTGAAGTCAGGGAACCAGACTACTTGAACATTTTCGTTTTTCTTGGTTTTTCCAGTATTTTTCGAACACAAAACTTCAAACATGTCAGTGTAACAATATTTGAACTATTATACTAACCCCTCAAATAGTTCATTTCTGAAAATTTCAGCAAAAGCCAATGATGTACATTCCCTTTAACAGGTGCAATAATGCGTAGGAACTCACCAACAACTCTGCAAACTTGACTGCACTCAGACGATGATGTCATGATTCTTTTTATCAATTTACTTCAAAACTGTTTGGTTTGATAAGTGTGGCAACACTTACTGATAACTGCATCGATTCAAAGTCACATTGTAGGTTGCAAACTGTCCATTGTTATGATTCTGAAACAAACGTAAACAGAAAGACAATATGTTGAAAGTGGTGAGCACTCACAGGTAATACGGGAGCCAGGTCCCCGGTACATGTACCTAATTGAAGTAAAACACATACCCATAAAAGAAACCAACCCCAAACTTCAAAAGTTGTCTGGAGGGCTTGATATTTTACGGTGAAAGCTGAAACTTTGGCGAGATCTGTCGTGTCGCGTATAAAAATGCACATCAACGTCAAACCTGTTTTTGGTTTTTCCAAGTTGCCTGGTTTTCATTTTGAAAACGTGTTGCTCGATGGTTAACCCTTACCCTACTAGACCCTCCAACGCATGCCAATATGTGCCTCAAGAAAATCTCCTATGTTTTTTGCATGGCCCTCCAATATCTGCCATGTCATTTCAAGGGTAACTGGACAGGCACTCCAATACATGCCACAGAGAACAATGAGAGTCCTCTGATAACAAAGTGAGTGCCCCCAGCTGGTCAGTATCAGGCACCCTCCAGGGCCTCCAACTCCTGCCAATTGGAGCCTTCACAGTCAAGATAGTTTATCCTCCAATTAACTGCAGCTGGAGGGCATTGGCATAACCAACTGACATGCAGTAAACTACCCTCAGAGAGTAAGGGTTAATGCGTTGAACCCATAAATTTGACTTGTTAGGACATGTTATCGCTTTCTGATGGCTGATTGACCAACTTTTGACCAATACTGAATGACAGGCAACAGCCGGACCGATGCACTTTTGCCAAAATTTCACACAAGCTAGTTAGGGCGTGATTATCACAACCCATGACATGAATATTTATTAAAAAACATTAAAAGTTCCGAAAGACACAACATTTTTTAATTGTCCTCTTTATACAACTCGGCAAAACGTCCTTAATGACTGGTGAACTGGATAAAAATCGCCACTTGAAGAAGTTTTGGCAACGCAAAAAGAGAAATTTCCCATGCAGTGATAGGGATGCCGCGATAGTAGTGCTAGTCCGACCATGGTCCGACTTAGCCTATAAATGTGGCCTATTTACTGGACTGCCTCCGTAAACATAGGCCACACATCCACATGTACAAAAACATGTTGCACTTTGCCAAATTTTGATTTTCACATTTAGGCTTACTTTCTTTTGTAGGTTTTGTTTTGCTTTAGAAGCATTCTCACCCTTTTTATAGGCTAATCAGAAAGTGCTGCCTTTTTCAGATGTCTAATTTTTGTGAAATTTCATGTTGAAATTTTGAAACGCAAACGTCTGCAAATGTATCTGGAAATTTCACGAAAAATGGACATCTGAAAAAGGCAGCACTTTCTGATTAGCCTATAAAGAGGGTGAGTATGCTTCTAAAGCAAAAAAAACCTACAAATAAGTATAATTACAAAGTAAGCCTAAATGTGAAAATCAAAATTTGGCAAAGTGCGACACGTTTTTGTACATGTGGATGTGTGGCCTATGTTTACGGAGGCAGTCCAGTAAATAGGCCACATTTATGTGGCTAGGTCCGACTAAGTACAACGCCACGTTCACGGGCCTAGTGGTAGCCTAGACCAGGTTGGACTCCGTTGTGTACAGTCGTAATGCAATGATGAAATGAAGACGTCGTCCAACCTGGGCTAGGGTCTAGCTTTAGCCCTACATTGATCCAGAGACACATTGTTATGCATACAGTAATGGTTATAGTATCGACCATAGAGCAAGGCACAGATCGAAACATACTGACAGTGACATTGTGGGAAAATATCTTACCAAAAATTTACTCAAGCCGGCTGCACCGAACAGCGAACGTGTGATTATGCATGGCTTGTTTTGGTTCTGGGAAACAGCGCCCTCACACGTTTTCGTTATGAAAGTTGAATGTGGATTTTAAAAGATCATGAGTGCGGGAAGAAAACTAACGATTTTTCCCGTCAGGAATTACTCCAGTATATTTAAGATTTAAGACTTATAAAATGACTCAAGGGCGGATCCAAAACAAAATTTGGGAGGGGGGGGACCAACAAAATGTTTGGTCCTCCAAAAAAGTGGGTCCAAAAAATTACGGCGTGGGGTTCGGGGCCCGCTTAAAGGGAAAATACAACATTTGCAAACATCAAAAAATAAAACTACCAAATCATTTTGAAATACCTTGCTGGACTGTTAGTGAATGACAGTGTAAAGCATCCTGTAAAATCATGGCACCTGGTATACTGTCATTTTCAAGAAAAGTGGTATTTTTGTATCAATTTCCAACGCTGATCGGCCGATCAGCGTTGGAAAAAACTGGCTTTTTTTCAAATACTGGCCCCAGTTGACCATCGCACTTGTTTGCAATCGATTACACACCTATGAACGGGTACAAGCCAGCTAGACTGGTTCCCTGACCTTACAATTCCCCAATATATGTAAACTGCTCTGTTTCTTCTTAAATGGAGTCAGGGAACCAGACTACAGGAAAATGATTGTTTTTCTTGGTTTTTATAGCATTTTCGAACCCAAAACCTCAAAAAAGTCAGTGTAACTATATTTGCTATATATTTCCAACCCCCCAATTCCATCAATTTCTGAAAATTACAGCAAAAGCAAATGATGTATATTCCCTTTAAGGGCCCCGAAAAAAATTTGGATTCTAGATGCTCTGTGGTGCGATGTGAGGCAATTTCTGATCACTTTAACCAATGTTTTTTTGAGGAAAAGATGGTGGTGTACTCATTGCCTGCCTTTTTTGCGATGTCACATAAAAAAAAAAAAAAATTGGTTTCGTTTTTTTTTTTGGAGGGGGGGGCATGGCCCCCTTTGGCCCCCCCCCCCCCCTGGATCCGCTCTTGAAATTACTCGGGATGGTACGACCTACCTCCATGGTACGAGCAGGGGCGGATCCAGGATTTTCAAAAAGGGGGGGCACAAAAACTTTGTGCGCGTTGCACACATAACGAGACTGAAGCGCGAAATCCCTTGCGGGCGGGGTTGAGGGCACTGGAAGCTCTACGATTTTAGATGTTCTCTCCTACATCATGAGTATTTTAAGCCATTAAGAGCAAAATTCACAATGTTTATTTTTTAATTTTAATAATACTTTTTTTTCCTATCAAATATAGAATTTAAAGTCACTGTTGATGTTAGTTGAAAATGAACCCCAAAATTAGAAGGTGCTGATGACAGCCCCCGGGTGAAAAAAAATGAAATGTGTTATTTTGCGAGCGAGCGGAGCGAGCGAGCCAAAAAAAGTCATGTTTACTATTAAAACATACATTTCTACCCAGAAATTTGCCTTGCAAACAAAGAAACCAAAATAAATTGAATTTCATTAGGGGACAGCCTGCTCCAAGCAAGGGCGGATCCAGAACACAATTTTTTTGGGGGGGGGGGCCCAAAAACAAATTTGGTCCTCCCAAAAAGTGGGTCAAAAAAATTACGGCGTGGGGTTCGGGGCCCGCTTAAGGGCCCCGAATTTTTTTTTGGATTCTAGATGCTCTGTGGTGCGATCTGAGGCAATTTCTGACCACTTTAACCAATGTTTTTTTGAGGAAAAGATGGTGGTGTACTCATTGCCTGCCTTTTTTGCGATGTCATATAAAAAAAAAAATTGCTTTCGTTTTTTTTTGGGGGGGGGGGGGGCATGGCCCCCTTTGGCCCCCCCCCCCCCCCCCCGGGATCCGCCCTTGGCCCCAAGCAGCCCCTACCCCCACCCCACCCCATTTTGGTTGATGTTATTGTCGTTTCATTTTTTTTTTGGTTTTTTTTTTGCTTCCATCATCATTAATAATATCCTTTTCGTTTTGCCCCTCTCCTGGTATTTTCTTTCTTTTACCATGTAATGTAATTGGTGATTTTAGTTCAATTCGTATTTTCTCCATTATCATCCCGTTTGTGTGTGTGTGTGGGTGTGTGTGTGTGGGTTTGTTTATGGTGTAAATCGAGCTCGCGCGGATGTGATTGGCTTCACTTTTGAGTCCCAGTATAATGTGTGGTAACTGCGGTCATATATACTTAATTTGTATATACACTTGCATACACTTTAACCACCATTTTTTCCATGTTCTTTTGAAGTCTGCAGGCTAAATAATTTAAGACGAAATGAATCGTCTACATTCTGCAAGTGTTGTCGAATCACTTCAAGAAATGTCAAGGCCTGAGGAAAATCGTTTATTTGTATTTTTTTGGGGGGGGGGCTCCGATTTTCTTAAAAGAAAAAAAAAAGCTTTTATTTAACGGAAATGCAAACTGCATCCAAATTCCAATTTCCAAAATATAAAAAACTTTGCCAGCACAAATTTCCCGAAAGCGGCAGCTGCCGCTTTCACATACAAGGTTTCAAAATAGTCACATAAAAGATTTCTGGCTACGCAACCGGCAGTCCCAGGCATCACAGGGGAGCCTCCTAGCAACAGTATTTCCAAGCAACCAGGTTGGAATGTGACGGGCATGCAGCCATGCACCTGTGGCTCAGATAGCTAATCACTCCAGTTGCGCGTGGAAGGAAGTCATATTCATGAAAGCAGACGGTCCGTGATGAAAGCAACCAATGGCATATTTATTTGCCGGGAACCGGCTCATTTCATTGGCTGAGATACTATCATCACTGTTTATCATCTAAGAATCTTCCAATTACTGACGGCAAGTTCTCAAAGGCCTTAAAGTTCGGTGGCCTACAGCTGAGCCCAAATGTATATGCTTTGTAACGAACAAGAGTGCCATTGTATCAATTTGAACAATGCGGCTATCAATCATTCTCTGGAAAGGCTTTTCGGAGCTGACATTTTATTTGGGCATTTTTTTCTCAGAGACAGGGGGAAAACTTTATGCGAAAAATGTGGGAAACTGAATTGAACGTGAAATTTAACCTCCGTGTTGTGTAGGCCTACATGCACATAGATAAACGATTGGGGGATGATATTCCAAGTCCAAATAATTCATTAAATGCAGGGCTCCCGATGTCTTTTTTTCGTAGTACGATTTTATTCTTCGCTTATTTAAAAAATAAAACTGCATGGCCTACATTATTCTTGTAAATGTTACTCTAGAATATAATTATTTCGGAATACATTTTGAAATTAAGTTTGAAGTCAAAGGGCTGTTGATGATCTTATTCATATTCCTTTTAAAATTAGGAAAAACTAAGCATAATTCGTATCAAAATTTCCCCTGGAATCTACAAAAGAATTAACTGAGAGTTCAGAACTTAATGGGCTAGGGTGTTTGAAATCGTTTTACTTTAAAAATAAATCGAGAGAACAAGACATACTAAATCGTATTAAAATAACCCCTATTTATTTGATGTCTCTCTCTATCTGAGGCCGGGACAATATAAAAGGGATGACGATTAATTCTTCGTGTATTTAAAAAATTAAACGCATGGCCTACATTATTTTGTGAAAATGTTTTACTCTAGAATATATTTTGGAATATATATTTTGACGCTATTATTTGAGGGAAGTTGTTAATCCTGATATATTCATTTAAAAATAAGAAAAACCGAGCATAATTCGTATTGAATTTCCCCTGGAATCTACAAAAGAATTAACTTAGAGTGCAAACTTTAACGGGCTAGGTTTTTTTTAATCATTTTGCTTTTAAAAAAATATTTAGAGAACCAGACGTAAATCTCTCTCTGATGTCGGGAAAATAAAAAAGGGGATGACGATTTTATTCTTCATTTATTAAAAAAACCCACATGGCCTACATTATTTCGTGTACCGGTACATGTTCTACTCTAGAATATATTTTGGAATATATTTTGACATGAAGCATTAAATGCAAGTGCTGTATTAAATGTGCCCCCAATTTCAGCCGGGAAATAAAAGTGTCTTATAAAAATATATTCTTGCTTTGAAATAAATTTTGAGACAATGATTGACAGGCTACCTTCAAAACTTATACATTGTATATTTTTGTTTATAATTATGTATGATAGTTATGTTCAAAGCGATATAATAATGACTCCTCAAAAACGAAAAAAACAGCCATGTTCTCAAAGGAATGTTTTTAATGCCCGCCAGCCCTAAGACGACTCGTAAAAAAAGAGGAAAAAAAGAGTTGCGAAAAGGGGGGGGGGGGGGGGGGGGGGCACGGGCCGGGTGTGCCCCCGTCTGGATCCGCGCCTGGGTACGAGATAGCCAACCCTATTGACTATTGTTCAGAAACCAACAGAACAGGGCATACTGTTTCAAGTTTCAAGTTAACTATACTTTAATAGCCGAGGTAAACATTACGTTCAAATTCATTTCTTTTCTTTCTTATTATGTATTTTTTCTCATGTTTTAAGAGATGTAAAGTCCAAAACGTCATAGCGTACGTACACCCCATGCGGATATCGTTTGGAAAAAAATATCGCGGCAGGCCTGGTAGTGGACTGGCCAAAAAGAAATATGACCTTTGGATAGCATTTTTTTGGTATGGCTGGCATCCATGCTAGATCGATTCTTTGAACCAAAATAAACAAGATGTAGGTGGATGCCATCGTTAATTTTGACCCTAGATATACCTCATTTGCATAAATTGTTAACCCCTGCCGCGTAATATATTTATTCCCATATTTGGGTATATTCTTTGTTTTTGTTTTTTGAAAAAAAACTTTTTAGTGATTCTACTAACACACCCTTACCTAAATAACATTTTCTTATGCATATAATTAAAGTGACTGAATAATTATGAGGACAAAGCAACAATCCAAAATGGCTACTATTATACCAAAAATTGCGCGCATTTACCTTGTCTCTTGATATCATCGAGTGGTCTTGCCAAACCTCAGTATTGATTAGCATTAAATTCATCAGGTTGCTTATTTGCACAGTTGCCCGATTAAAACTTTATAGAAAAATC